CATGTTCTGGTCAGAGTAAATAGGCAAATACTGTTTGTATTGGTTGAAGGATCGAGAACCAGAGATCATGTATTTAAGTAATTAGCGAAGTAAACAATGGCAGTTAAGAAAAAATGTTTTCATGCAGTGTGGCTAAGGATCTGGGATACACTGCCTGGGACTATGGTGGAAGCAGGGTCAGCTGAAGCTTTCGAATGGGAAATGGTTTATCATCAGTTTTTACTGTAGAGAAGGAAATAGAGGCTAGAAAACGCAAAGAAATAAATTTTGTTGTCTTAAAAACAGTTCACATTACAGAAGAGGAAGTTCTGGAGGTCTCGAAGAATATAAAGGAGGATAAGTCTCCAGGACCTGATCTAATGTATTCCAGATCTTTGTGTGAAGTAAGAGCTAAAATTGCGAGACCCCTTGCAGAAATATTTGCATCATCTATAACAATGGGTGATGTGTCTGATGACTGGAGAGTGGCTAATGTTGTACCTTTGTTTAAAAAAAGTTATAAGGAGAAGTCGAGGAACTATAGACCTGAGAGTCTGACTTCAGTTTTGTGTAAATTGTTAGAGGTGATTTTAAAAGATAGGACTTATGAACATTTAGAGAGGCAAAAATTGAATGGAGATGGTCAGCATAGTTTAATGCAAGGAAAATCATGTCTCATAAACTTAATTGAGTTTTTTGAGGAAGCTACCAAAAAGATTAAAACCGAAAGAACTGCAGATGCTGTAAATCAGGAACAAAAACAGAAGCTGCTGGAAAAGCTTAGCAGGTCTGGCAGCATGTGTGAAGAAAAAATTTGAGGTCACTGGACCCGAAACATCAACTCTGATTTTTTTCTTCACAGGTGCTGCCAAAGTTGCTGAGCTTTTCCAGCAGCTTCTGTTTTTGTTCCAAAAAGATTGATGAGAGCAGAGCTGCAGACGTTGTTTACTTGGACTTTAGTAAAGCCTTTGACAAGGTTCTGCATGGTAGACTAATTAGTAAAGTTAGGTCACATGGGATTCAGGGTGACCTTGCCAATTGGATAGATAATTGGCTTTACAGCAGGAGACAGAGTGGTGGTGGTGGTGGTTTGTTTTTCATATTGGAGGCCTGTCACCAGTGCTGTTCAGCAGGGATTGGTTCTGGGTCCTGTTTTGTTTGTCATTTATACAAATGTTTTGGATGAGAATATAGAAGGTATGGTTAGTAAGTTTGCAGCCAAGACCAAAATTGATGACATAATAGATAGTGAAGAAAGTTTTTGAAGATTACAAAAGAATCTTTATCAAATAGGTCAATGGACTGAAAAATGGCAGATGGAGTTCAATCAGCATAACTGTGAGGTATTGCATTTTGGTACAGCAAATAAAGGTAGGACTTATACAATTAATGGTAAGGTATAGGGTAGTGTTGTAGAACGGAGGGACCTAGGAGTTCAGGTACATAATTCTTTGAAGTTTGCATCACATATAGACAGGGAGGTTAAAATGGTGTTTAGCATGTTTCCTCTCATTGCTCAGTTCTTTGAGTCTAGGAGTTGGGACGTCATTTTTGAGGTCGTGCAGGATATTGGTGAGGCCTCTTCTGGAATACTGTGTCTAGTTCTGTTCACCCAGTTACAGGAAGAATATTATTAAGCTGCAGAGGATTTAGAAGAGATCTACCAGGATGTTGCTGGGTATGGAAGATCTTAGTTATAAAGAAAGGCTGGATAGGCTGGGACTTCTTTCACTGGACCATAAAAGGTTGAGAGGCAACCTTGTAGAAGTTTATAAAATAATGAGGGGCATAAATAGGGTTAATGGTAGTTGTCTTCTCCCTAGGATGGGGGATTTCAAAACTGGGAGCACATTTTTAAGGTGAGAGGAGAGAGATTTAGAAAGGACATGAGGGGCAATTTTTTTTTTTACAGTGTGGTTCGCATGTGGAATGAACTTCCTAAGGAAGTGGTGGATGTGAACACAGTTAAAATGTTTAAAAGGCACTTGTATAAGTATGTGAATAGGGAAGGGTTGGAGGGATATGTGCCAGGACCAGACAAGTGGAACAAATTTAGTTTGGGATTATGTTCGGCATGGACTGGTTGGACCGAAGGGTCTACTTCTGTGGTGTATGGCTCTATCTGAATAGGAAAACTTTGCTTCACCTGTAACTGTTTTGTGACTGTAATCATATTGTAGCTGACGTTTATATAAACAACCACAGTAAAGGGATGGAAGGTATGGTTACCAAATTTGCTAACAACATAAAGATAGGCAGGAAAATAAGTTGTGAAAAGGACAAATGGAGTCCACAGAAAGATATAGGAAATTTGAGTGGGCAAAGATCTACCAAAAAATACTAATGTGGGAAAACGTGAAATTGTTGGCAGGAAGAATAAAAGCAGCTTATGGTCTACCGCTGCCTTAAAAGATATTCAAGGACTCTGCTTCCAAGACATTTTAAGGAAATATGTTTCAAAGGCTCTTGACATGTTGGGAGAAGAAAATTCATCTCCTGAATCACGATTGTAGAGCTTGGAGATGCAGAGGAATCTGGGAATCCTTGCACATGAATCACAAAAGGTTAGGTGCATGTACAGCAAGTAATTAGAAAAGCTAATAAACATCATAATTTATCATGAGGAATTGAAGCAAAGTGTGGAAATTATTCTTCAGTTACACAGGTCACTCTTGAGAATGCGCCTGGAGGACTACTGTGCACTGTATTGGTCACCTTAGATGTGTTGCAGGTAGTTCGAGAAGGTTTACCAACTATATCCTAGAATGGGGACGTTGTTTTATGAGGTCAAGTTAGACAGGCTAAGCTTGTAGCTGTTGGAGCTCAGAAGAAGCGATTTGATTGAAACAAGGAATCTTGTGACAGGGTAAAGAAACGGATGCTTCCTCTTACGGGAGAATTTAGAACTAGAATGGAGGCGTTGATGGATAGAGGAGAGATAATCCAGTTGTCTCCCAGTTTGAACCAATATTGTTGAAGATACCTGAAGTAAATTCTGATTGGTGGGGCAAAGGAATGCTTGCACAGAGGGTGTATAAATCATACGTCCTGTTGAGAGCCAATTGCATTAACAATTATTTCCTCTGGGGTATAATTTGGAAATAAGGTGGTTCTCATTTTACTTGAATTTGGCATTGAAGAGTGCCAGAATGAAATGCAGTTGCTGGAGTTGGACCTGCAGATTGTTCATTATTCCAATTTAAAATAATTTCAATATGAGAAGCTTTAGAAAACTGAATTAACTAAATGAAACTCCTCCTTTAATAGACTAACTTTTGCATTTATCATAGCTGCCAACATATTTGCTGTTATCCTCATTATATATTTATTGATAAAATACATGATATTTTGTGGGACAATGGAAATTTGCTGGGCATTCCAAAGTGGCAATTGAATGACTTTTTAACTTCTGTTGTAGAGGAAGTGACAGTGAAACGTCAATAAACACATACATGGCTAGCTTTTTGATGCACGGCTAGCCACAATTTCCAATTTCGAGTTGAAGTATTGGGTTTCTTGGTGTGTTGTGTGAAATGCATGCCTTAATTTATTGTTAATAAATAAACTCTTAATATGATATGTTAACATGATTCGTGTAGCCTACTGTAGTAGTGATCGGTATTAAGTGTTGAAAAGTTTTTAACATGGTTGAAACCTCTGCAGTGTATCGTGGGCAATGAATTTCTGTTTGTCGCCAGTAAGGTTCGAGAAAGAAAATTGCACAAGTGTGTGCAAGAAGAAAACAGGGACCCAATGATTGCATATATGTTTAATCAGATGAACTTTATTTTCACAGCTGATGGTGTTAAAACTGTATACTTGAGTTCCAAGTTCAGTGGCCCATTGTGGCAGGACAGGGGTCAGCAACTAATAGAGGTGCAGAACACACAGATTATTCCAAGTTAGAATCAAGAGTTTTTTCAGATTAAACCCACGGGACCATACAGTTGTATAGTACTTGATTGCTTAAATGTTTAGTACTTCTTAGATGAATGTTTTGTTTAGACAAGAGTTTATCAGGCGATGTCGACCATCTTGACTTGGCTTAGTTTAGAAAAGTGCTGAAATTTGATGTTTGCTAGAAGCCTCATCTTAGTCAGAAGATTGTAGACACAACTCCTCCTTCAAATAGGAGTTGTGTACATAATCTAGATTGATATCTGGAGGAGTAGTAAATTATTCAGGTATTGTCTTTCAAGTGAGACAGTGAATTGCATTGTAGTGGTGTACTTATGTTGATGTAATATAATGTGTGACACTGTTTGAAGAAAAGTTGTCGGAAGGCTCACAAAAGAGAGAACTATTCTATTGGATGTGATGAGTAATGTCCTCTGGAATTTGTAGAGCGCCCTAATCTTTTCATTTTTTAAAATCCAAGTCATAAACAGATCTAGAATGTTTTATACTGAATTTTCTTGTGACATGGCAAGTAGTAGTGATGGGAGTAGAAAGTTTCCAAGAAACTTTGATAAATGAGTGGCCATAACTAATTTGATTGAAGTTTAAAGTGGAGAAGTACAGTTTTACTCTTGAGACCTAAGAAATAAAAATCAAACTATTTTCTAAATGGAACTGCTGGAAACTATGGAGGACCAGAGAAATTTAAAGGTCTATTACAGAAATCACTGGAACCCAGTGGAGAGTTTAATAAAGAAAACAATTAAAATGATCAACGACATGTTGGACTTGAAGAAAGCTGGGATACAAAGGGATAAAAATTGTGCTACACAATTAAGTGGTTGTAATAAAAAAGTTAGAACAAAGCCATTTATGGGTGATGTCAGCAGGCATTATTTCGCAAAAGGTAGTGGAAATTTAGAACCAAAAAATATTGATCCAAGGCCAATTTCAAATCTGTGATTTGATGGGATATTCTCAGAAAATATTAATTTCCTATGCAGCATCAGTTTGGCCTTCATATACAGTGAATAAACAATATCATAACTTTTGGAACTAATCTCTATATATCCAAATTCAGCTTGACTTTCTAACAGTTATTCATAAACTATTTCTATTTTAAGGCTGAAGAAAAAAACAAAGCAACTGAAACAAAAGGAAGAAGAATCTTCAGATTGCCAAGCTGAAAAACCGCTGCATAAAATAGAAGGACAAACTGGTGAAGGTGCTTCTAAAGAAAACTTCACTGTATCTTCACGACATTTGGTTGACCATGAAACACTTCTGGATACATCAAAAAACTCCTTAAAAGCAGGGGACAATACTGTTGAAAACAATAGAAGAAAATCTCTAAAGAAAGAAATCCGACGTGCAGAACTTAAGAGTTTTTATTTGTCTGGTAAGTAACTGTAGAAAATATTGGCTAACTTTTAAGAGCCAAAATGTACCTTTTATGCCAAATGAAGTTGTAGGCTGGTGTTGTTAAGTGATCGGTTTCACAAACCTTATCTGGAATTACGAAGTTTGCAGGTAAATGTAATGTTATCTCTCATTGGTTACGATATGTGTTTGCTATACTTTTAAATGCTAACTGAAATCCTATCAAATCAAATTTTTAAGTAATCAACTAAAAGAAATGGAATTACAGCATTATTACAGCACTCAACCATATAAGATATGCTGAGAGCCATTCTAAATGTCAGTCTACTATAGAAGTAATGTCTGATAATGTAATCAGAATGTATTCATAGAGAGTTAGTGATATACAGATTTGAAAAATATGTGTATTTGAAGATTTGAGCAATTGAGCTCATCTCTGTATTTTGATTGATAAGCTGCCTAGAAAATGGGATGGAGGAAATTTGTGAACCTTTTCAAATATTTGGGTGTCCTTTTGCTTTCTTTGAGGCAGCTGAAGATGGACTGAAGAAGCAATAGAAGCACACAGTCAGGCAGAGGGATACGTAGGCAATTCTTTGTGGTGGAGAACATAGGGCCAAATTTCTCTTTGGTTTGAATAGAATAATTAAGTTATTAACAGTCTGGTTGAGCCTGAGACAGTGGTGTGGGAGAGTGGAAAAAATTTGAATTGAGATTAGAGTTCCAAATGCAGACTAAAGAAAATAACTTTGATCTCCCTATGGGAAGATTGATTCATCCTATATTAAATGTTGTAGTTATAGAGACAAGGTGGGTGGCATTGGCATAACATTTGGAACCTGGCACTCTTTCTTTGGATGATGCCACCAGTTTACAGATAAACAAAGAAGAGACAGGATTGGTAAGAATGAAGTTGAGAATGGGCAGTTTTCCTGACACAAGTGGGATAGAAACATTGGAGGAAAAGATATTCTGAAGAATGCTATCTCTGTTTCTCTCTTCACAGATAGATACTGCCAACCTGCTGAGCTTCTCCAGCATTTTTTGTGTCTATTTCAGATTTCCACCATCCACAATATTTTACCTTTATTTGAGAAGGATTGTGTGATGGACTTGTTGAAAATTGCAGACAAGACCAGTTGTGGTGATACATTATGGTTGTAACCAATGTTGTCTATCAACTTTTTGAGGGCCCTTTTTGATTTATGAGTGGTGGAAACCTGATTGGAGAAATTCGGAACAGGAGTGGAGAGAGCTGTCACAGAGCCAGAAGTCAGCAATATATTTGAGAGTAAAGTACTGTGGAAGCTGGAGATCTGAAATAAAAACGTACTGCAGAAACCCAGTAGATCTGGTGGCAGCTTTGGAGAGACAAACAGAATTAATATTTCAAATCCAATAGTTCTCTGCTTCAGAACATATTAAAGGATGTTATAGAGAAAAGAGAAGTTACAGTTGGGGCAGACTTTAGCAATAATTGAGTACTGAGTGGCAACAATATTCTTATAAACTGGGGGTAGTCCTTGAGAGGGGAGGATTCCCTACATTTGATCCTAATAATTGCTTTTTGACAAGGCCTATGTAACTTCACTGTTCCCAGTTTCTACTTGCTGTGTTTGGCTGCTACTCTGGATTTAATGCATTACTTTTCTGGTTTTCTACCCCTTATTTTAAATTACACGTCACCTCTCTTTGACACTTCTGTATGCGAGGTAGTTTTGCTGTGGTATTGACACTGGACTGAAATTATGTTGTGAGGATATAAGTTTGAGTCCCACCTTATTCTCTTAATAAGGATGGCCAATCTGCCGTCCTTAACTGGTCTGGCTACCTTCTGACTCCAGACTCAAGACTGATTAATCTTGAGTGCCCTTTTGAAATGATACAGCAAGCCTCTCAGTTATATCTAATCACTACACTCTGACAAGACCCATAACTGTGATTAGTCTTAAGTGCCCTATTGAAATGCTCTCGCAAGCCTGTCAATTATATCTAATCACAACATTCTGACAATAACAATGAAACTGGATAGGATTCCCTACTATCATCCAAGATACCAGAATAGCACAAACACCCCTGATGGCCCTGAAAATTCCTCCTTACTGACATTTGCGTGCTCATACCAAAGCTTGATGCAATCATTCACATAGAATCGTACCTGACAGACAATATCTCAGACTCCACCATCAAAATCCCTATATA